AAAATTGTTCAAAGCGAACATAGACACACTCCTCCCCCTTTTCTTTTTATTCCAGGCATCTTTATCTCAGGAAATAACATCATTTACTTCTTCATTTAGATTTCCCCTCATTTTCCCATTTCTGGGAGCCAGGCTAATATATTCAACTGCCATTATTTGTCATTCCTACTAGATAACTCACCATGTGTAACTCATTATGTCTCTAACTGATAGTTTCATTTTCCCGCGTCCAAGCGGGATCCTCCTCCAGACTTCCCATCCCAGTCCATCTCGTCTCCGCCCACCTAGTGGTCTGTTGCCTAGGAATATTTGTCACTTATGTCTCCTTTACCTCACTCCAGCTCACCATCAGGTGCGCTGTTAATTCCATCGCCACAAGCATTAGAAGAATCCATTTCATCCTGCCCATTTCAATGCCGGTTTTAATTTTCTGGATTGTTCAAGTAACCTTTAACTCATCTCCCGTATTCCGTCTCACTCTCAACTATAGCGATCCATTTATTTCTAGCAGAGAAACTGGCTTGTGTGACCTTAAAAACAAAACAAAACAAAACAAAAAAACCTCATATAATTTTCTGTCACTTCTTTCTGGAAAACTTTTAATAAAGAATGAAACATAATAGTTCTTTTGCATATGATACTTCTAGTATTTCTTTCAAGGGTATTGTTGTTGTTATGTGCCATCGAGTAGCCTGTGACTCATAGTGACCATATATATGTACAACAGTCCTAAAACCTGCTCTGTCCTGTGCCAATCTTATTGTCTCCAGCACACCTAACCCCATTACCCCAGTCACTGTATCAATCCATCTCATTGAGGGTCTTCCTCTCCTGCACTGTCCCTCCGCCCTCCCAAGCATGAGGTCCCTCTCCAACAACCAATCCTACCTTGCAACATGTTCGAAGTATATCAGTTGAAGCTTCAGATCCTTGCCTCCAAGGAGCAGCTAGGTCTCACTCTCTCCAGGATGAACTTGTTTGTTCTCCTAGCAGTCCAAGGTTTATTCAATACTCTTCTCCAGCACCAGAGCTCAAAGGCATCAACTCTCTTCCTATCGCCCTAGACATTGTCCAGCTGTATGATGCATAGCAAGTATTTGCAACATCATGGCCTGGATCAGGTGAACCTTAGTGTCCAGACTGAATGGTTGCTCTTGAGTACGTTGAAGCGGTCTCTGACAGCAGACTTTCTCAATGCAATTGATCTTTATATTTCCTGGCTGCTGGTACCAAGAGTGTTGATTGTGGAGCTAAGCAAACTAAAGCTGTTAACAATAGCGTCTAATTTTGTAATCATAAAGTAATCTATTAAATTTACTTAATATTCAACTTCCAAGTCAGTTAAGAGTTGGATCCAGTGCTATTTTGTTCATAGCTGAGATAAGTCCTTGGAACTAGATACTGTACTGGGAAAGGTGGAGGGTCTGAGAAAAAGGAGAAAGGCCTTTAGTAAGATGGATTGGCCGGGGGACTCTCCCAAGGGGCTCATGCATTTCAGAGATGGTGGGGATAGAGCAGGGTAGGGCACGGTCTGATGCTGTTCATAGGATCACTAGGAGTCATCGTCAACTCAGTGGCATCTAACAATAACAACTAAGGACTCAGTGATTAATGCTGCCCTGGCAGCTAACTGAGAAGTAGATGGTTTGGACTCACAAACCATGAAGCTACAATCTGATTCTGGAGAGATTTACAACCTTGAATGCCCTGTACGCAGTTCTCTTCTGCCCTGTAAGTTTGCTGTGTTCCCATAACCGCACACACCCTGTACTTGACCTACTACCTGGGATAGAATTTCACTGTTGAATGAAATAATCAACGTATAGGTAGATGAGGAAGATTGACCAGCTAATGAGGTGGAGGGGAAACTTGCCAAACCACACTTGGAAGTTGTTCTGAGAAATTGATCACCGCCATGATAATTGTTCTGACTCAATAAACAGACTCATTTTCTTATCTCTGAAATTATTTTATTCCATTGCTTAAGTTAAAAATTCAAGGAAGTTGCAAAAACTGTGCTTTCTTCCTGGTGGGCTCCAGAAGTCACTGTTGTTGTTATTTGCTGTCGGGTTGCCTGTGCCTCATAGTAACCTTATGTACAATGGTTCTGAACCCCGCTCTGTCCTGTACCAACCTTATTGTCTCCAACACACCTACCCCTATTACTCCAGTTACTGAGTCAGTCCATCTCCTCAAGGGTCTTTCTTACCTATGCTGTTCCTTTACCCTTCCAAGCATGACGCCCCTCTCCAAGGACTGGGCCCTCCTTGCAACATGTCCAAAGTATGTCAGATGACACTTCAGAATCCTTGGCCCCAAGGAACAGCCTGTTTTCCCTCTCTCCAGGATGAGCCTGTTCATTTTCTTAGCAGTCCATGGTATATTCAGTACTCTTCTCCAGCACCACAGCTCAAAGACATCAATTCTCCTTCTATCCTCCCTAGTCATTGTCCAACTTTCTGACCTGTAGCCAATAATTGTGAAGGTGATGGCCTGGATCAAGCACACCTTAGTCTCCAGACTGACATAATTGCTCTTCAGTATTTTGGAGAGGTCTCTGACAACAGACTTTTCCAGTGTAACTCATCTTTTGATCTCCTGGCTGCTGGTACTAAGGGTGTTGATTCTGAGGCCAAGCAAACTAAAGCTGTTAGTAACCTCATTCTCTTTACCATCTGCCAATTGGCCCAGTGTTGAGAATCTTTGTTTTCTTGATATTGAGCTTCTCTATCCATTTTGAAGGCTGCAGTCCTTGACCTTCAGGTCCTCCTCAGTTTCAGCAAGCAGGGTTGTGCTGTCTGCATAAGGCAGATTGCTGATGAGTCTTCCTCTAATCCTCATGCCACATTTCTCCTCATACAGCCAACCTTCCTAGATGATCTGTTCTGCATATAGATTGAAAAGGTATGGAGTTAGGACACATACCTGGTATATGCCTGTTCCTATTTTGAACCATTCAGTGTTTCCTTGCTTTGTTCTGACGACTGCCTCCTGGTCCAAGTATAGGTTTCACATAAGGATATTTTCAGACTTGGTTTCAACTCCTGAATCTGTCAGTAAAGTGGAATTTTATTGATCTTGATGGTGTTAAGTCAGTCTTCACCTTGCCAGAGCCTGTTTTCTTCTCCATTTTGAACACAAATCTAACAGTATAGGAAACTTACTGTAATGTACTAGGTTTCAACATGTTGACTATCTAACAAAACATCTGGCAGATATAGTGTCTGCATTTTCAAGCTGTTGCTCCTCTCTATAACCATTGTTTTACTTTGTACCTTTTTTTGGTTTATTTTGTCTTCTGCTTCTTAAATCTCTCGCACATTTTCACGAGAGGTAATGCTCACATTACTCCCAGAGTTTGGATTTTGTTAGAAGAACAATAGCACTACATACTGAAAGGGTTTCCTCTGGATTAGAAATAGAGCACTCTCCGCTTCTCTGCCCAGCTTTTCAAGAGCGTTTTATGGTGCACTGCTGTGTAACAAGTTCATTTTCAGATAACATGCTGGAAGGGAGAAAAAGACGACAGGATTCAAGGGGAGAAAATTAAAAAGTTAATTAAAAGAAAGAACTTGGTAATTGAATTCTCTTGCACTCTACTTTGGTTACTTGTTGAGGGGAGTCACTATGTTCAGATCACCTGAAAACTTGTACGTGAGAGAACCATGACAGTGTGGAGCATTCATCGGACCGACAGCTGGGCTGAGGCATAGGATATATATGGTAGGCTTCTTGGGTGTGCCCGCAGAGCTGGTCCCATGCACATGCTCCAACAGTTTTACTTTGAAATGTCCTTGGCAGTTAATATTGCAGTTTGGCTAAGCCCTGGGCTGATAACAGCTCTGTTGAAGAAAATGCAAATTTCCTCTCTCACTGACAGCTCACTTGCCTGTTTCTTTGGCCCTGCCATATATACACCTCTGTGGCCACACAGCTGGAGAGTCCAAGAGACAATTCTTGTGTCCTTTTCACATTGTACTCTGCAGACCAAGTAGTGATGTGAGTCTTCATTTCTTGCTTTTAAAAGAGGCATGATGATTAATATATTTAATGATAATTAATATATTTAATCGTTCTACATCACCAATCACACAAGTGTCAGCCTAGGTCATTTTCAACATTACTATTAAGAATGATACATTTCTATTTGGCCTTCAACATTTGTGAAACTAGGTTAAAAATTGAAAAGGTACGGAGATAGGACACATACCTGGTGTATGCCCGTTCTTATTTTGAACCTTGCTGTGTTTCCTTGCTCTGTTCTGATGACTGCCTCCTGGTCCAAGTATAGGTTGTGCGTAAGGACATTTTCAGACTTGGTTTTCAACTCCTGAATCTGTCAGTAAAATGGAATTTTATTGTTGTTGCTCGTGTTAAGTCGGTCTCTTCACCTCGCCAGAGCCTGTTTTCCTCTGTATTTTGGACACAAATCTAACAGTGTAGGAAACTTACTATAATGTACTAGGTTTCAACATGTTGACTAGCTACCACAGCAAAATGTTCATTCATTATTGCAACCGAAGTGCATTTATTGAACACTCCTATCTGCTAGGAGCAGTTGGAGTTGCTAATGGTAATTAGGTCTAAGTTATCATGTAGCTTTTATTAGCATCATTTTTTTAAAAAAAAAACTTTGAAGATTAATTTTCAGGGTAGACTTCTGTCCAAGCAATTCATTCTCCTCATTCTTAAAGTAAATTCACTGAAGGCAGGACACACGCCTACCCTCTCTACAGTGGCGTAATGTAGCGCTGTTTGTGTACCTAGCCTTCAAGTAAATGAGAAAATAAGAAAGGTAATCTTTTACATAGAAAGATATGTTAGTAACTTTTTCCAAAGCATTAGGAACCAGTACTTTGAGAAGCTTCACTTACAGGTGGCGTCATGTGTCAGAGGAAATACATGTGTGTGTGCCTGCAAACGTAGAGTTGATGAGATGCATTCAATTCCTCAAGACAGAGTTTCTGTGGGAACTAACGAGGCCTTTCCTGTTTCCCCAGGTTATGGTTTTGTCGATTTTGACAGCCCTGCAGCCGCCCAGAAAGCAGTAGCATCTCTCAAGGCCAATGGCGTGCAGGCGCAGATGGCCAAGGTAAGCCTGGTGTTCAGAGTCCGTCTTTCTGTTTTGTGCTGCTGCTGATTCTTCCTGTGATCAAATGCTTCTCCTCTTCTACAAGATGACAAGTGGAAATGCCAACTCTTTGAAATGTATCTACTTGTTTGGGAGAAAAAGGAATCTCACAATTAGTTTTGACTTGGAAGATATTAACTGGACTGGTCAATTGTTTCTCTGTGCATTTATTTACGGTGGTGGTGGTGGTTATAACGATCATTTTCAGTGATATGTTAGGGATGTAAGGATGCTTGTGAACCATTTTGCCTGGAGGTGGTGTATTGATCGTGCATGTAGGCAGCCGTATCTACTGTTTTCATTACTAGATAATTGTGGAGTGTTCCATGTTGTATTTCATACATGGTGTTAAACAGCAGCTCACCCTCATACTGGTAAAATGCAAATGTTGACTGATGGACCTATCTCATCTATACAGGCAAATGAGTTCCACCTAGCTCACTGTGTCTATATTACTAGAATTTCACTTTGCTCTTTATACAGTGTTTCCTAGATAACGATCATTTGCCATGCTCATTTGTTAAAACTCACAGTAGAAATGACTCATTTGGGGAAGAGGAAAACTTTGAAGAGAATCTTCTCAGTCTGTTTAACAGCTCATACAGAGGTCTGGGGTGCAATGTGTTACATGTTGGGATGCTCATCAGAAAGTCAGCTGTTCTAACCCACTTGCTTCTCTGAAGGAGGAAGGGGAGGGCAGTCTCTTGCTGTGAACATTTCACAGCCGAGGAAACCTGATGGAGAGTGGTTAAGAGTTGGAATTTGCTCGATGGCAAGAGATTGGGATGGGTTTGATTGATCCTAGAGCTTTTATCTGAAATGATATCCAAGAGAATGAGTAAACTCATAGAACATTTCTGTGTCCTGTGCTGGAGTGGTTACAATAGTCTACGCATATAGTCAAATGTCTTGGAACTACATACACACATTCTGCCAATGTCAATTTTCCTTTATCTGAAATGATAGCCAAGAGAATGAGTAAACTCATAGAATATTTCTGTCCAGTGCTCGAGAGGTTACAGGAATCTACAGATACATAGTCATATGTCCTGGAAATGTATAAACACATTATGCCAATGTCCATTTTCTGGTTTTGATGTTTTACTACAAATAGGTGATTTATAGCTACTAGGTCAAATTCTAAATATGAAGATGGAACTATTTGGTTAGAGAGTCTATATTGGGTATGCAGAGCAGATTATCCAAGAGGCAGGGCTCTATGAGGAGAAGCATGGCGTTAGGATTGGTGGACGAGCTATCAACAATCTGCATCATGCAGATGACACAACCCTGCTTGCTGAAACTGAGGAGGAACTCATGCACTT